GGGGGACTTCGGGAGCAAATATGTACACAAACACTCAGAAGATGAGGCTCTAAATTCCAGCAAAGAAGCTTAAATGGGACTGCTAGTGGGTGTTGTCGCAGACGGTGTTGATTGTTAGTTGTTACATATTTTGCAAGGCTGCACTTCCGCAACAAAATCTGTTTGCAGACAACTTATAATAACTGAAAGGAAATAAAAATGTTGGTTAAAAATTGGAAATATTGTTCAAGGGCAATGAGAGCAGCCTGGCAGCTTTGGGTGCATGTTGACGGGGAACAGAAGGCTATAAATTGCAAGGAAAGAACAATATTGCACAAATTATGAAATAAAATAAAGAGCTCTGCTTGTAAAACCAATGCTAACAATAGTAAAACAAACTCAAGGAAGAACTCCGGTTTGCAACATAAATGTGTCCCCTAAACTTTACTATTGCTTTACTCAGTTTCTTTTCTTTGTTTGGGAGGTGGGGTATGGGTTAGGACCTTGTCGATTCACAAAATTATTCTAGCAATTTACTTCTTCAGATAGAAGAGTATGCTCAGGCAAAAGAAAATGAGAAAAGAAGAACCTAGGATATTTGAGGGATATAGGGGAACAACTTGCAGATGTACCTGCTCCAGTTTCCAACAGGAGGACCTCCTCCAAGTCCAAGTCCTTCCCAGACTAACTGCAATTACACTATATATTTGTTAGAGAACATCAAAACACGTAAATAGTTCTGTTTTTGGATAGATCAGATGGGTAATGTAGGAGAACTAAATAAATAAAAGGAAGTCCTTAGCAGACTAACTAAAGTTACAAATATAAGATTTTCGAGTATCAACATTCCTGACCAATAAAGCAACCAATAACAAAGTAAAACTTACTAGAGCAACAACACGAGCAGCATCCTGCCTCTTCCAGTACTCCTCAGTGCTACCTAGCTCAAGCAAGTAATCAGTTTCACAAAAAAACATAGCTGATCACGTAAGCGATGGAGTAAAGTTGTGCTCTTGTTGAAGCAGAGCAAAGAGATANTTACCCTCTTAGAAACAAGAAAAGAGGGGACACACAAAAAAATGAATTAATCCAATGCTTGGCTAAGTAAAAGTCCCGTAGACCTATATCCTTCAACTATTAAATTGAGTGGTGCACATTTCGGATATTATTCAGTTAGTTATCAAAGAATACTACAGAAAAAATAAAAAAGAACATCTACACTACAGACAAAAGATAGCTAAAAGAGAATAAAGACAACAGCTTACTTATCTCTTATAACTGACTTACAGCCCAATTGGACACCTCTGCTTGCTTAAAATGTAGGAATATTTACCTTGTTCCCTCATCCTTGCAGTTCTTTCTCTATAAGAACTTATTGTCCTTGATCTTGTACTTCTCCCCCTCCATTTTAAAAGTAAGATCTTCTTTTATATTAAAAATTGAAAACAGGAGAGAGAAAATAATGCTAATGCGTAATCAGTACATGTGCTGCTTTCTTTTTCCCAATTTTGGATTTTACTTGAATCAAATGTAACTCTGCTGCACTTGTTGCAGTAAACTACTAGATCTCCCTTCTATTCCATTTGTGGCTTATTTATTCTGTCAAACATAGAATTATGTGCATCTCTTGGAAATATAGATCTTTGAATGTACCTGCTAAGTGCTATATAACATGGATGCATAAGACATAAGTAAAGCACACTGGATTATTTCTTATTGTGCGAACTCCAAATTTGAAGAGGACTTCATTAAGCCTACCTATCTCGACGAACATTGTTGGTTTAGTTGTCACAGGTCCATGATGAGTAGCTTCAAAAGTAATCTATACCAGCCAGGAAAAAATAGCATTACACTCCATATTACATATCAAGTAGAGGGAAACAAAAATAAAGAAGATATTTATAGAGAATTGCCAGGATTATCTAGAAAAAGAATGCTTTTTTTTGACAAGCCACAAAAGATTGATCATAGAGCTGGTATAGAAAAGAGCCATACTTCAAATTCGGGAACGAGATTATGAGACTCAGCAATTTTATTCAGAAGAGTCATCCATGGCCCCATCCTTGGATTTGGTGGTGCCGCCCACCCTGGCCTCCCTCCTTGTGGTGGAACATCCCCCTCTTTCAAATGTGGCACCCCTAACCAACATTAAACATAATTAGGACCTCATTAAGGTGTTTGCGAGCATCTAAGTTCCATACATCAAATATACCATTCTCTCTCCCAATTTATAAACACTCTTTCCATGTTAAGACGCTTCGTACTGTTTGACAATCATCCCAAATAATGATTTTACAATAGAATTCAAATTCATTTAAATATACCCTGACTACTACAACTTATATGAAACTCTCTTCCATTTTGGGATGTTCAAAATGATTGACACCATTAACTAATAATATTTTTCTATATAAACTATATCACAATTTTTTACAACAACAAACTCAGTGTAATCCCACAAGTGGGGTTTGGGGAGGCTCTGGGGAGGTAGAGAGGCTGTTTACGAAAGACCCTCGGCTTTGGAAGATGAATAAAAACAATCAAATATCAACAACAGTAAGCAGAAAAATGATAACAACAAAGTAAGAACTAGAAGAAAAAATAGATGAAGGAGAGCACTAGCAATAGCAACAAGCAGTAACCACGACATGATATTAGAAAACTGAAGCGGAAGATAGTAAGAAGTAGCCGTAATACTAACAATCTAGGAACAACAGCAAGATACTACCAGACTAGCCCTAAACAACCCACTAAGGGTCAGAAAAACGCCCGACTACCTGCTATCCATCTACCCTAATTCTCAACCTCCACACCCTCCTATCAATAGCCATGTCCTTGGTGAGCTGAAGTCGCGCCATGGGTTACCTGATCACCTTTCTCCAATACTGCTTCGGCCGCCCTCTACCTCTTCTCGTACTCGGCAAAGTCAATCGTTTATATCTCCTAACTAGGGCATCTAGCTTTTTCTTTTCACATGACCGAACCATCTAAACTTCGCTTCTCGTATCGTGTCCACCATAGGGGCCGCACCCACCTTCTCCTGAATATCCTCATTTCTAACCTTATCCAACCTAGTATGCCCGCACATCCATCTCAACATCCTCATTTCAGCTACGTTCATCTTCTGGACATGGGAGTTCTCGACTGACCAGCACTCAGCCCCATACAGCATAGTCGGTCTAACCACCGCTTTATAGAACTTACATTTTAGTTTGGTGGCATATTCTTGTCACACAAGATGCCGGATGCTAACCGCCATTTCATCCACCTCACCCTTATACGGTGTGTGACATCCTCGTCAATCTCCCTATTCCCTTGAATAACTGACCCAAGATATTTGAAACTTTCTCTTTTGGGGATGGCTTGTGAGTCAAGCCTCACGTTCACGTCCGATTCCCCCGTCACGTTGCTTAACTTGCACTCTAAGTATTTTGTCGTAGTCCTGCTCAACCTGAAATATTTAGACTCTAGGGTGTGTCTCCAAACTTCTAACTTTTCGTTAACACCGTCTCGCGTCTCATCAATCAGTACTATATCATCAGCGAATAACATACATTATAGAACCTCCCCTTTAATATGATGTGTCAATGCATCTATCGCCAATGCAAACAAGAACGGGCTAAGAGCGGATCCTTGGTGGACCCCATCCCAATTGAAAAATGGTCCGAGTCTCCTCCCACTGTCCTCGCCCCGGGTCTTAGCTCCATAATAAATATCCTTAATCACCCTATGTATGCTACGTAGGGCAGTGGTTAGGCCTGCTATGTTGTATGGGACCGAGTGTTGGCCGGTGAAGATCTCACA